ATGTCTGCTTGACCTAAAAACACTATTTTGTACCTGAAAGGAAGAAAGCAGACATTTGTGCAAAGCTGGCAGTAGTTCATATAAATGGTTTCACAAAGACCCATGTGATCTGGATATGCAGTAGAATTTCAATCTGAGCTGAATCCAGTGAGCAGGGGAGTGAAATGTGACCTTGAATTTCATATCCCATGATACAGTGAATACACTGAGCAGCAATGTGGGTTGTCTTCGAGCTCGAGGTGTCTACAGATCGCAAATCACCTGCAGAGTATTTTAACTAAGCCACACGAAGATAAAGAAAATCGAACGTCATTATTTCAATATCCACTGTATGTCGTCTGAGACTTTGTCAACAACGCTAACAGCAGCTGACAGGAAGTCTTCGGGACGCCTTCAAGCTGAAAGTTAATTATCTCATTCATTATCTCAGGATCTGACGGTATCTGTTTCAACCTTTCCGACCACCCAAAGACACGCTTTGATTTGTGACAGTTAGCAGCACTGATCAGCAATCAGGAGTGCCGGAGTGTCAATAGGACAATGAGACAAATGCCAATGGTGACAGATGTGTCGATGAGCCGTTAGATCATTACTCGAGAGAAACAATGATCCATGAAAACCCCCAATGAAATCATTACAGTATTCTCTCTATTATGTTGAAGTCATGTCTCCTAAGCCATATTCACTCGTTTTGCTACTTCATTTTCTTTTGAAGGGCAGCGGTTTATAGCGCTGAATCATGCCTGCTGTAATCACCGTGTCTCCATTAAGACAGACTGAAATTTGATTGGCAACTCATTCTGAAAGGTCAGAGGAACCCTGCAGTACTGGTTGGATTTGTGGATTCAGCTAAAGCCTTTATCTCTCAAGGAAAGTCTAGTATAATGAGTTTGACCTTGCCAACCTGGAATTATGATACCCAGATGTAACTGTAATGTTTGGCGTTAACAAGAAATGTATCCTACATATTTTGGAATCCCTTTGAAATAAGAGCTAGAGGGAGCAGTTGAAGCTGGCTGACAGGATAGAGCAGAGTTCGCTCCTTTGTCTTTGAAGGCAATCAAAACCAGCCGTTTGGACAGTGAAAATGAATAAGAAATAGGTGTTAATAATGTTTGTGGTTTTGCCATCAGCTCTAAATGTCGTTAATTGCTGCTAATTGTTCCCATGTTGTTTCTTTCTTCCTCAGACGCTGGGTTTGAAGAGTTCAGTAGGGTTTGGTCACACCTGCTCTGTTGATGTGTGATTGTTACTAATTAATGTTTCAGGCATAACATGTATATTTGGACATAAAAATGCCACCTAGCTAATTCCAAGGATATTTGTTGGAATTTTTGCCCAACTGGATGCAGAACAAACTCAAAAGGTGAACAATGTAGTGCAGGAGACAGCACAGTGGCTCTGTTTTTGAATTTAGTTTGAAGCCATCCCGTCAGCGTGGCTCTAGGGACGGCAATGTCATCAGGTCAAGAACCTCAATTTGTCCAATACTTTGGTTTATGATCAAATACCTGCAACACTAATGACATTCAAATCAGCCACAACTGTGCTTTGTGTTTGTCCTAATTAGCAACTGTTAGCATGCTAACAAGCTACACTAGTAAACCGTCACAGAGCCTCTTGTCTCGTTAGCTGTGACTTCAAATGCTTGTGTTCTTATACACATATGAAAGAAATCTGATTCTAGGTCAAGTTTCCTGCACTGAGAAATGATACACAGAGCACAAGTTCCTCTGTTGATTCATCAGTAGTGGATAACTAGCGCAATGCATACACAAACTCATGAGCTTTACTAACAACTAAGTCTTTCATTATGATAAAGGATCCATATAAATAAGATTCTAATGATGTAATCTACATTTACTTCATATCCAGGACCAAAACTTGACTTGAAATGGAACAATATTCCCCTCCCAATCATCACTTTAATGACACACAGTAACAATTACGCACAAGAAATTATAACTCAAAAAAAACTATTGCCAGGCACATTTTTATTGGGCTCTTATGGTAATTTCCACACTGAGCATTCACAGACAAACAACACAAGGAGTATATTCGAGTGGGAAAACAACCTCATCACTCATCACCATCTTAGAAATGATTTCCACAGAGGAACGGAGTCTGGTACTCTTCCCAAAGGGGAGAGAGATACAAATTCTAATGACTGTTGGCAGCAGAAACTAAAGGTGCATTTGCTTTCCCTTTATTATTCCTCGTTGTTGAATAATTAAGACCTATTGTTATTTCTCGGCCACCTACTGTAATGATAGCAATAATTCATTTTATGCTGATTAGCGCAGTGACAGGGGGGGGCGTAATGCATTCCAAATGGCACAATTTTTTCCAGCATCAGAAAAATTGTTAATAGCGAGCAGAGGCATGTTTCCACAATGAGGTAAATGCATGAGAGAAATGTCTGAAATAGCTTCTATAGCAAGGCAGAATTGTGCCAAGGCCACCAAAGCCTGTTTGTAATGCACTAATAAGTTATTCTCTGCATCTGTATAGTAAGCCAATTTGCAAGGTGGTTGCTCATCAGCTGCCTCACTGTTTGTGTGCGGGCTCACCAGTGTGTACGGTAATATACGTGTGTGTTGGCTTGTGTTTTGTCATCGCGCTCCCTCCCTGAGAGCCGTTTTGGTGCGTGAGCGGCTTGTTAATGCAGGGCTGTGATTACTCCGGAGCTGAGCTGACAGCTCGATGTATCTAAGCGTCGATCAGGTAACTGACTTCATGCCACGGCCGAGACATGCCACTCAAGTCCGAGGCCAGGAAGTTCTTCCCAATTACCCAGAGCGCACTGCTCTCTGCCTGTTAGAGGGAGAGATGGCAGGGCTCCATCCTGACCCGACGTGGTGTTTCCTTTCTTTTAACCTTGATGGCATTTAGTCACATCATGATGGTCTATACCTTTCTCTTTCCATCCACATCTTTAGGTCCACTACCAGCCTGGCTCTAGGGAAGGAAGCGTCGGCCTGACTTTTCTCCAGACTGAGACATATGAACAACTATCGCAGAGCTGAAACAATTAGCTGATTTATTGATTTGTCGACCTTGAGAAAAATTCTATTCAGAGCATTTCTTCCAGCATGAGGAATTGCTCCTGCTTTTCTCTGTTTTTTCATTGCAAGCTGAATATTTTGGGTTGTTGGTTGTACAAAACAAGACATTTGAAGATGACACCTCGAGTTATGGAAGACAATTAAAAAAAACATCATTTGTTGCACCCTTAATTTTGGTCATGGTCCCCAGAGGATGAAGCTTACTGACGCTGGGGATCCCCACAAACAGGTCAGATTCTTCACTGTGGAATATCTCAACATCTACAAAATGGATTGGAGAGTCAATTATGTTCCCTAGAGGGTAAATCCTAATGACCTTGGTAATCCCTGACTTTTCATCAAGCACCATCATCAGCTTCAAGTTGACTTTGTCCAGCCTCAACTGTACTTTCTGGTTCAGTAACACGCTGACACGCTGAACTTAAGTAATAAATTCAGTGATATATAATACATGATAAAAAGCCTATTAATTTGTCATGTAACTACTTCATCACTGTCTGAATTGTGAGTGTGAAATGCATTCACTTTATACTGCGCTGTTTTGAAGAATTAAATGACAGTTGTTCAACACTGCAGCTCTAAGTGTCGATGCAAAATGATGATGATTCAGAAGTCTTTAATCTCAATCTACTTCTCAAGATGGAGTGAACCACTGAGTCACTGTTTTATAGGGAGCAGTGAATGAGTGATTCACACCACCTTAAGGCCATGGCACATCAATGAGACCTTCCAACAAACGCAGATAAACACAGGTGTTTGTTTTGGTGTGCCATAGTAGTTGTATCCGGAGCAATGCAGCTCACGCATGCACAGTGTTATGTCACATTTTGATGTATTATAAGTGGTGTAACCCTTACGGCCTGTAGTAGCCCACACTCTAGTGCGTCTCGATAAGATTAAAAACCAGATCTGTCTTTGGTTTCCAGCTCACGACGAAGATGAAAAGCCCCAGTGGGTTGTCTTCTCAGTAACCACAGCTTGCTCCAGAGTTTCTTCAAGTATTTCCCATATTTCTGGTACAAGGAGCATCTCCAAATCACAGTAGATATCCTCTTCAGGGGATTTCTAAGTTTGGGCTTCGGTTTTGTTTGGACTGTTCCTTGTTGTTGGAGATTGCTGTGTCACGAGTGTTAGTCTTGGTCTCTCTCCTTCTAGTGCTCACAGAGTACATAGACATATTATGAAACCTTACGTTGATAGTGCCAAGTCTGGTAATTGAAATATTTGCTTTTGAAATGTTTTAATTAGACTTGTATTATCTGGAGTTCAGTGTCATCCTCTAAGCTAAATGAAAACCTGAAAATGTTTTGAAATGCGTTGCGTGCAGGCGCAGCATCCACCACCGAGAGCTTATTAATCAAGTGAAAAACTCAATTTGATATGAGAGAATTTCATTTGACCTTTTCTGGGCGTAAGTGGGTCTTGAATGATAACTTCACATAAAAGAGCATACATCAATAGATTCCCCCACCTTCTCCGCCTGTTTGTTGCCATCGTTTGGAGATAGCGGCGGCGGCTGCAGAATACTGATGAGCCATCGGCTGATTACACTTAAAACTTCCCTCATGGTCTGTGTCAAGATCAATTTGAGTTGAGTTGAGGCTTTATGGGGTTTGTATGAAAGAAAGTATATGTGTGTCTGCCACTTGAAAGCGTTCGATGCTGATTCATTGTTTAATTTTTTAACAGAGTGGGTTCAATTTTCAACTCATCTAAATAAGAATACATTCATGTTAAAGATGAATAGAAATGTATGTTTGAAAAGTTACATTTGTTTTTTAGGTTGCAGGAATGACACATGCTCCCTGCTTCCCTACCGTATCATCTAATCTCCTCTTCTTCTTTTTTTAACTTTTCCAATATCCTTTCTTTCTTGAAGTCTCATATCAGTTTTCTTGACCTGGCTCTGTCTTTTTTCTTCTTTTTTTTTAACAGAAACGGTATGAAGAGACGGAGCCCATATTGCCTTGGATGAGAGCCAGCTGTGTCAGGTATGCTACACTGACCTCAGCTTCCTGTCCGTTTGTCAAATAGCTGCTCAGTCAGGGATGTAGCCTATATCTGGTTTTAAAAGGCCTTTCATAATAGGTAGACACAGTGGTCCTGTATTCCACAGAGCTCTGTGCTGGGAAAGAAAGCCTGATGAGACTGAGAACCGAAACAGAAGCCTTGACTAAAAGTTACAGTTGCCTCTGAGGTTCACTGCTTCAATCTTGCTGTTTAATGAAGCACAGGTTTATCACCCCTGCATGCATTTAAGTCTTCCGGGTTCCCTTTTGTCATCAAAGGGAATTGCTCAATTAATTATTGAAGAAAAAATATGGTGCATCCCAGCAGTTGATGTCAGTTTCTTTCCTGTCTGAGCAACACACTGATCACATGCAGTATATTATACATACACTTTTACATCTGACTCTAACTAGTTGTTGTTGGTGATGGGGTTTTCGAGTTCTTGTCTTGTGTTGTCACAGCTTTTAAAAAAATAATTTGAGTTTTCTGTGTTCTGTCAAATGACAAAATGGAGGTCTTCATCAATGCTTTCATCCTGATTACTCGACTAAATGATGTTCATAGCATGGAGTAATATTTTTTTTGAAGCAAATTTGTTCTCATTTACAACCTTAATCCAACCATATATGGATGAAATTGTCTATTTTCTAATGCTTTTCCGCAATAGTCACAGATTGTTGCTAATTGCCTAATTATTGCTAATCTAAACTACTTGGGACCCCAATTCAGGCCAAAAAATAAATATAATACTCAGTCTAATTGGGTTACGTAGAGTCCTGTTATATTGCTGCTGATCTTGGGTCAATATTTCTAATACCTGAGCAGACTTGCAAGTAGTTTAGGAAAAATCTGTGCTTTTTTTAGGCCAGAAAGGGAATAAACAGATAAACAGAGGAGAGAATGACGTACTGCTGCTCTCTATGACCATGGCTGCTCATTGATCGATGGTGCATTGTGCTGCTGCTTGTCTTGGTGCTTGGCTCAAACATCCTTTGGAAAGGGTCTGAATATTCTTAGGTCTCACTGTCCTTGGCTTTCTTTCAGATCAGGGCTCAAAATAAAATTTTCCATATTGATTATAGGTCAGTTTTCCACCGCATGTTTCAGTTGTCCTTACAATCTCTATTCTGACCTCTAATCTGAACATCAACAGTGCAATGATACTGAGGCAGGTTTCATCATTTTGTGTTTGTTTGTCATGGCTTTGTATATAAAATCCTTTTACATGTTTATATCATAAACTGTATCAGTTTATAGGCTTATTTGTAGTTGGGCCCAGATGCATATTAATATGGAAGTGACATGGTGCTACAGCTGTTGGCACATTAAAGAGGCTCGAAGGAGACGCGTAAAAAAAGAAAAATCAGGATTGGAGCAGCAGAGAATGAAATATCCTGACTTTTAGTCCCTCGAGTGGGACAAGCTCCAAAGTCGCTGGCTCCTACATTTCCCATAATGCAACTTGATTGCATCTTTAGTCCTGTTGCCCACATCTTTCAAATCCCTTACACCAAGCTGAAATGAAGCACTGAAACAAAATCAGGATGATGTATCTTTAAATAAGACATTAAGAAGAGTCGTCATGCTGCCTGCTCTTTCTTCCCTCTGTCTTTCCTTCTCAGTGCCCCTGCCAGTGTCTGTGATAGCCCGCAGAGACACAAACAGTTAGCATACATATGTCAGATGCTGCATGCAAGCTAAAGTTCAAATCCCCTTTCATACGCGCGCTTCCTTAGCGCCACAGGGAGGGACTGTGTGGAAAGGTCATCTCTCACTGAGTAAATGAAGAAAATTGCCTGCTTTTGCTTCCCCTCACCATACTGTTTTTAGCCATTGCTGAGCATTAGTGACTGCTGCTTACTCCCACTCACCTAATCACCACTCAGCAAGCCAAATTAATACATGAATCATATTACTAGTCTGCATATAATTTGCATTTTCTAGCCTTGAAGAGTATTTTAACATGATGTCATTTTTAATTGCAGCAGCTCTGCAGCCAGACGCATTGTGTTTCCAGCTGTATTATGATATTCAAAGCACTAATCACACAGACATTCCAGTTTCTAAACTTGTCAATGAGGGAAGCTTCAAGATGAAATTCTATTCAGTAGCAGTAACCTAATTGAAATACAAGAGATTTTCAGTAAAGATGGAAACCCATCTGGTTTCAGTGGATGATAGTTATCTTTTTGCAGTGGCTCGTTCTGTGGCTGCAAGGAAAGAAAAAAAAACAAAATTGGGCTTCAAAGCTGCATCTAATCACACAATACAAGCTGTGGGTGAAATTTATGCTCGGCACAAGTTGCACTGTGTAACGTGAATGTAAAATCCGAATGTATGGGTGATTCATGCATAACCTCGTGGTGAAATATTTAGTGAAAAGGACTGCATGTGTTGATGGGCCTGAGGGATGAACACGCAGTATCTGAGAGGCATTTCAGCCTTCTTTGAACTGCTTCCCAAATCAGGACTCTGGGAGTTACTGTGAATTGTGTATGAATATGTACAAACAGTTAAAAGAACGTCCATTTTGCAGCACTTTATCTCGTGTTTTCATTTATTAAACTCGCTTTCTTTAAATATTCAAATCAACCCTTGAGATAATTCTTGTGACAAGTCGGAGGATTTGATTTCTTTTTCTCTTATTTGGTTAGTGAAATAGAAAGACACTATGATGAATTATAGTTAATACACTGCAGTAGATTTAGAGGCAGCTCTCTGACACAGATCCAGATATAAGAGTGTAATGTGCTAACATCATTTAACTTCCTTTATGAGGCTTCTTCTCACTGGGTAAAAAATATCATTGTCTTTGTCTTGCAGCTAGGCCTGTTAATTGGTGTCACAACAAGGGTCCCTTGCATAAAGTGTAGAATTTGTTTTGTTAGTTCTAATAGATGGATTCATTGCTCACACAAGTATTAGTCTACCATCACAGTATGGAGCTAATTGAACAGTTCTTGCTGGAGATCCAGCTGCAGTCCCTATTTGCATAGCTTCATCATAATTTATCAAAGACACCTCAGCAGGCGCTTCATCATGTCTCAAGACCAATTTCTCCATCTTTTCCACTATGAATACATTACGCCACCAACTCATACATCTTCCACCGGCTGCCCTTGCGCTGAGCGGTCGCACCCCCGAACGAAGTGCGAACGCAGGGCGCCGTTTGTCACGCACGGATTCCCCCCTTTGCTTGTGTGTTCAGCGTAAACGGCAGCCAACCACAGTGACATATCAGCCTGGGCCCGGCCAATGGCAGTGAGTTATTTGACTGCACTGTGAGATATCAGGGAACACAATGCTTAATACAGTTGTGAAGAAGCCTCAGAGATTAGAGTCTCTGTCGTGGCGTGGGGGTTGTAAGTCATGAGTTGATTTTGCTGATCAATCACGGGTGAATTATTGTGGGTCATTAGGAACATAAACCTTGAATGCTGTCCTCAGGGGGAAATCCATTTTGGCGCAGTGGGAGGTGAAGGGCTTGATGACTGGGAGAGGATGTGTGTGTGTGAACCCCTCAGACTGTATGAGCTCTTATTGACTTTGATTGTCAATGTACATAGTAATTTATCCCCAAAGATAGAAGAGTTTATCGTATTTTCCCTTTAAAACGTCCCTTATTTCATTCTCCATTGCCTTAACGATGGCAGCTTCTGTGGTTAGATTAAAGGAACTGTACCACAACTGCTGGCAGATTTACAGACAGGAAGACAGCAACACACACACACACACACACACACAGATGGACCGCACAATTTCAAAGCAATGATAAAACTATTAAGCCTTTATTGCACGGTTGACTCCCCCACTGACTGGCATTGTTTGGCATTATTCTATTGCAAAGGGTCTATTTGTGATTATGGCATGGGAACAACAATAAGACCTCTTAAAGTGTCTTCAGATCAATGAAGTGAGTCTTTTATAAGCTTTCCAAACATCACAGTGGGAAAGGGCAATCTCAGAAGATTATACTTGTCAGATTAAATGAAACTGTGGTGGGGTTTCAATTGGCGAGCAGCAAGAGGCTCCAATTTCGAACAATAACATCTCACCGCTTTGGAAGCAGAAGCCAGAGCACTGCTGATGCAACTCACAGGTTTTCCGTACAGGTTGATTTATAATGGGAGACTGGGTTCAAATAAGTGCTCTGTTGGATGGAAGGTTATTTGTCTTGGCTAGCACGTGAACACAGCAGCCTCCCCACAGGACCTCACCTGCCTCGCCCCCTCTCTGCTGATTTCAGATTGATATCGGGGATCGAGCAGGCTGAAAGGTCAAGTAGTAAATGCAAATAAGGTTTAATTTAACTTGTTGATGGGCGGAGGCTGCTGCAGCAGGACTGCACTGAGAGCGTCAGCTAAACTGTCACCCAGTGTAACCTCACTGTACGGACACTGCATTAATACATTTCCATCAATAACCTGATGTCATAAAAGCAGACAGGTCAGGACCCATGTAAGCATTAGAGTCTGATTCTATGCAGTTTTCTCCTTTGTTGATCTAAGCAGAAATACAATATAACTACAATGATATGGAAGCTCTGTGTATTTCTCCAATAAACAAACACCTGAGAGGTTGAGGTTTTTATATACATGCTGATTTTTTTCAGTTTGTTGTATACAATTGTGCTTTTTCTCTTTCTCGATCTGTGGTTAAGCTGCGCATTCATCCAGCTTGTTGTGTTCTGTGGAGGTGGAAGCTGTGCGTGTATTTTTAGTTGAATGTCAAAAGCAATCTGAACAAGTTTCATGCACAAGAAAGACTACAAAGGAAAAAAAGAAAACTTCTGCCTCTGGCTGTAATGCAGTCTTCTTCTTAATTTCTCTGTCTTTAGCTCCAACAATTCTCTGTGGAGTATCAAAATAACATTACTGAAATATTCACTCATGTAAAGACTCTTAAGAGGAGGATTACATTTTCCTCTCTGGCTCAGTTGGAAATAGTTGCAGACACGGCAGCATGGACTGCAGTCTGCTTT